CCTGAGCCACGTCTAGCCCACAAAAAAAGTTACATTGAAGGAAAGTCTTAACACAAGATGGCTGGTATTTCCCCACCAACACATCCGCTTTTATAAAGCATCGAACAGCAGTCGAGGTCTTACTTTCGTTCTCTTTATCCAAGATTCCATGTTAAAGCTTTGGCTTTTTTTTTTCGGAGCGCTACACGGGACCAATTGCTGATTTGCCTCCATATATGAAAAAGATGTATTAAGTGACTGCTTCACGAGCAATGGTAAAACACACTCCTTTGGTTTGCTTTGAGCTCCACGAGTGATTAGCGATTCTATGGGGCATAAGCTCCTATAAAATATATGAACTTATGTTTTAAGAACATTATTATTAAAGAAACATTCATCAGTCGTGCCTCGAAATGAAATCGATATTTGATATTAATTTATAGGGCTCTATTTTAGGAATGCGTGTGCGCAACCCAAAACAATCTTGGAACAGTCAGCCTGGCAACACTGTGATCTGATTATCTCTGAAGCGGCACTGATTTTGTTATCCTCTTAAGATATAAGCAAGCAGTTCTTGGTCTCTGGCCATTATTGGCTTAGGAAGTAATTACGAGGATGAGGTTTATCTGAGAAGATTTAGAGGGCGGAATGTTTTTGCGACTGACGTACTCACGACATTTCGGTTGGACCCGAGGATCATTTAATGGAAACAGCCATCTTAAAGTTTTCATCACTCGTTAATTACTTAATTGTTAATCCATTTGCTTCATATTTTTTAATTTTTTTCGTTTGCAATAATCAAGGAAATGTTCCTCTGAGAGGAATTGGTAACCTTTCTAAGTTTTTTTTTCCGGAAATATTAAAACGTCGGGTTGAAAATCTCATGCGATCAACAGATTGCAACAGCAACAGAAGATTTCCGTGAGCTTTCCCGGCGGCGGACTGGAAGTTTGGTCACAGAATATATTAAAATAACGCAAATGACTTAATTGATAAGGATTCTTTTCACAGGTAGTTTTTCTGGGACTGGAAGTAAACAATAAAACTCACAAAGTTATGAAGAGTAGCAGTCCATTGGAACGGGTAGACTACCGGAGAGACGGATAGAGATATTTGCTTTAAAGCCTACTTTTTTGCAAATTGTTTAGGCAATGATAGGTTCATAGGTCAAATGTTCATTGGAAAGTCTTTAGAGGAAAAGCAGTCCATGGGAATGGGCGAAGGAGGGGAAAGAAGGTTATATATAATATATCGCTTTCAGTGAAGCCCAGATTTTGCAAATTGTTTTGGCGATGATAGGTTCATAGGCTAACTTGTATGACATCTGACATTATATTTATGTTCACTGGAAACTCTTGTAGATGAGTAGCAGTTCATGGCAATGGGTGGAGAAGGGGCAAGAAGGATTTAGATCATTTACTTTCAGTGAAGCCTAGATTTTTCAAATTGCGTTGGTTATGATAAGATCATAGGCCAGCTTGTATGGCATCTGACATCAAAATGATGTCTATGGGAAATTTGAGGGGTGTCGAATTGACTTCTTTTTACTTGAGAGTCCGAAAAATTTATGACGAGTCGGACTTTTCCATCCCTGGGCCTTGAAATGATGCGATTGGAGATCATCCTAGCCCAATCAAACTTTGCGGTAATATAGTTTGAGAATTTTAAGGTGAATAAAAGTCAATCTTCATATTGGCAGTTACTTTAGTATCGGTGGAGATTTTGGTCATTTTTCAAGTTGGAGGGAGAGTGGGGATAGCTTGATATCTGTACTAGTCAAGTCTGGTTACACGGACTAGTTCATAATCTCCTAAAAAATTTGTTCGTAATCTCCTAAACATGGGTGTCCGAGTAATCCAGTGATCTTATGATCAACGCACACTTTAGGTCCACAGTCTTCAAATTCCATACTCGTACGTATCGCATTATATTTAAAAAGTGTGCTTAGCCTCTTAATTATTATTAACCAGCTTTTCTCCTTGTTACGGTTACCTTTCATGTCAAAATCCTGCCAAGAGGTGGATTTATCTACGAACAAATTTACAGGAATTAGCAATATGTGCGGCACATCTCTTTTTGACCCTCTCACTTCAGCTGACGATCTATTTTAAATTTAAAAAAAATCGATCTTCTAAAGGTGTTTTCAATAGACACTGCAAGATGGGACGTAGTATTAAACTATACAATGGTTTGGAAAATCCAAAATGTTTGATGAATTTTTGCTGATGATGTGAGTTGTAGCTTGCGTCAAAGTCTTTCCGTTTCCACTAAAAAGATTATCCAAGGGAGAAAAGGCATGACTGAGCGGGAGTCGCCAAAGGCGAAGAGGGAGTATTGGAATGAAGACAAGGACGTTTTCCTCTCTAATTCCCAGCCCCTTCCACCGCGCCCAATTTTTTGCTTCCTACAGCTCCATGCCTCTTCTTGACTCTGGCATAGCTCATTCTCCTCTCGTTTAGATAAACGGAAACGGAAAAGTGTGTTTCGCAAGCTACACGAGTCGCACCGGCTTGGACTTATCAGTACAGGGTTATATGACCATGTTATATGACCATGGCGATGAGGAAAAAATTCGTTGCGACGAGTTTTTCATTCCTGTAGTCGTTTCAGATAAGAGTCTGTTAAATGCTCAAACGATGTTTGATTGAGCTTGTATGGTTTTTCCCGGATGTTTGGTTGAGCTTGTATGGTTTTTCCAGACTTACTGCGTTTGAGAAGATTCACTTGTGTCTGAAATTATTCTTAGGGTATTCAAAGTTTATGTTGAAATTAAAATGAAGCTGAAATTTGCAAATTTTCATGTACAGGTTCTTTCTTAGGTCTTCTGATCACACTAATATTTCAATACGAAAGATCGTAAGGACCCCTACCATTACTTCGTTGCTGCGCTACGCGATTGCCATGCTAAAAGAAATTCCATTTCCGGTTTTCGTAATCCACGCATTTAGCAGCGTGGAAGACGAGAGACCGGCAGATGTTTTATCCAGGTGTTGAAACTTACAACAACGTAAAAGGATATTTGTTGTTGTTGTTGTTGTTGTTGTTGTTTTTTATCTTTTTTGTCTTGAAGAAGATGCGTGGGTTACAACTACGTATCTCAAAGTGGCTAGCACTTAGACAGAATGATACCAATCCGATAATTCATCTATTAAAAGACCAGGGACATAATCAATAAACGGCTATGCAAAGTATTTCCTACAATTAATTCAGTGGTATTAGGTTAATGGTTGCCTGTCATCTAGTGATTATGAAAGGGCGTGAAATTGATACATAGCTTTTATAGACAGAATTGAAAAAAGTACATTTCCGATAAAAAGACCTGGAGTCCAAATTCCATTAGGTTTGAATAAAGCCTTTGATAAGTCTCAAACTGCAAACAAAAATAAGCGACAAATTTGAGATAACGAAACAACTCCGTGAACGAGTGTCCTCGCCCAGCCTTATTTTCAAGTTCAAGGTCATCAAGAATAGTTAAGTAATCAGATCACGTGCGTCGTGCCTGAAAACAAACAAACAAACAAACAAACAAACAAACATACATATAGCTTTCTAAGGGGTGAAGGGAAAGAAAAAGTTTGCAGTTCGAAATAAATTCACGAAAGCTCAATAATTTTTCAATAGCAATGTTTGTGGCTGCCTAGCAAAAATAAAGGGAAAGCTCAAGCTTTCAATCATGGTTATCGCACAATGCAATAGCCAGGTCAGTTCTTAATCGCGAATTTTCTTCTGCAAATTCGTGACGCATTCTTAGTGATCTAAACGCCAAGATGTTATATTGAATATCGCTGTAAGTCCGTCAAGTTTCTGATACTTCTGTAAATAAATCGAAGCTTGATTGATGTTGAGACAAAATTAAAACGTACCATCCCCCTGACTTGTGTATTTTGCAGAGAGCTGAATTCCAAAGGATGATAGCGAAGTGTACTATCTCCTTACCATTCTATATTTTGCTGACATAATACTGGATCGAATCAGTTTGTTCTGAACTTTCCAGCCTTTTCCCGAACTCGTGTTTTGATATAGGTGAAATCTGAGTGAAATACCTCATATCCTGCCCTTCGAGAAATGTTGTACCCCCACCTTCCCACAAAGGCCGCCTCCTTACAGCTTTGCTGTTACAGGTTCAACTACATACCTCTCTTTAAGAGGCTGTAGTGTTTAGAATCACATCTCCAACTTAATCATAAGATCCACTGTTTAATTAACAGAATCATGAAGGTACAGTAATTTTTTTTCCACAGGAGAACAGAAAGCGGTTATTTTACAAGCCATGCGTCATTGGGAAAACGCCACTTGCCTAACATTCATTGAGCGAACGACAGAGAAAGACTTTATTTACTTCCACAAAGGACGATGTGGGTTAGTAGTTTAGATGTTGCTTTAATTTGTACGTTCGTGTTTTGTAATGAACTGTCTCAACAGCCACGTTTAGAGTATTGACATGAAAACGAAGCAAACTTATCAGCTAAGTCATCAAAACTTACTATTCGCGTCATCAATCTGGGTTACTTAAATTTCCGACATTGGCCAATCTTTCTCTCGTCACTCGTAGCGTTTCATTACCTGATCAGGCAGGCTGGCTGTGCCTGCGTCAGGAGAATTGCTGACGTTGCTTATCATTTGGCTAGTCGCAACGCGTATCGTAGTGGCAAGAAGACCCTAAGGGAAATGAGTTAAAATGTTACCATAAAGGAAAGAGCGATAGAAATCATATGGGCAGATGGAGAGACTTGTAGTACACTTATAACTGCATGGTCAACCAGCCTAAAGAGTCATGTTATAGATGCCAACATATTTTGGGTTTTTGGTCATCTACGATCCTTTTATGACGTTTTTTTTTTCTTCCAGCTGCTGCTCGTACGTTGGACGCAAGGGGAATGGGCGCCAAGGGATTTCTATTGGCAAGAACTGCGACAAGTTTGGCATAGTGGTACACGAGATTGGACATACGGTGGGGTTCTGGCACGAGCATACACGGCCTGATCGGGCTGGCTTTGTCGACATTTTCAAAGAGAATATAAAGAAAGGTTAGTAGTATCTTGGAACCCATAGATATGCTCACCCTTGGGGCTGTGAAGATTGTTCACATTAAAAGGTGCGTACATGTAATGACAGCGGACTGATTGAGCAATTATTAACTGAGCTTCAGAACCAGGTTGTTTGAAGGGTGGATAACGCTATCCGCTTCAGAAATCTCTATCCGGTGGATAGTGCAGTAGGTTTTATCAAAAATTATCCGCTTGATAGCGATTTATCCGTTGGATCGTGTTGTCTGCTCTTTATACAACTACAACCCTCTCCACCCTTCACATGAAAAACCGACTGTCGAAAACCTGAAAAAGCTGTACCACGCCTCCTTGTTAACCCCTCGGTCACACTTGCGCTTGAAATCACTCTGAGGCATGCTTGCTTGTTGGTCAGACAATCAAACCCAAGCACGTGCTAGAGATTGGAGCAAGCGGGATCTGGTCACATTGGGAAAGAACGAGATGTCAAACAATGCTTCACCTGATTGGTCAATTGTTTATCTAGCTCAGCTCAAGAGTACTCCGTAGTGCCCTTGGGTTAAGCTGCGGTTCTTTTGAAGTTTAAGCAGCTCCGCCTTCTTTCTCAAGCAAGCAAGCATTGCCAAGTTTGGTTAGTCACATTTATAACAAGCTAGGAATTTGCTAGATAAACAAAAATTGACCAAGCAACCATGATCCTAGCTCAAGTGTGACCGAGGGGTAAGTCACGGTTTATTCACTTGATTTTATGATTCTCTAACAAAATTGCGGTTAACTCCCACTTACCACTCTTCGCTTATTCAAATAAAAGGACACTAAAAACGTTGCATTACAGGCACGTGGAACAAGGCCATATATGGGCGGAAAAACACGTGCCGCATACATGTTTTTCGGTTATGTAATGGACAAACGAAATCACTTATGATGTCAATCAAATTAAGACTAATTAATGTATCGTGCAGTTTCCAATCCCGACACCAATCGCTACTTAATCACCCGCCTTTTCCACGTTTTATCTAGCGCTGTTTACCAGCCTTCTTGTAAATTTATATAAGTTTTGATCAATCGTTGTCATGCTTTTTTTTAGTTTGGGTTTGAGTTTACAACGCCAAATTCCAAAAAAGGCCTACCAACCATAGCATTAAGGTTTTTCTTTGCACTTTTCTGTTATATGCATTCTTTTACTCAGAATTTTTAATTTATTTGTTCCGGCGCTTTTCTACCTTTTTACCAACTTTTTTCGTTTTCAGGCGAAGAACATAACTTTCTAAAACTCAGCTCCGCAGAAATTAATTCTTTGGAAGAGCCATACGACTATGCATCCATCATGCACTACGGGAAAAACACATTTGCAAAGGAAGTCAGTCAAATAACCATTTTGCCCAAAAAGGATCCACAAACAGCTCTTCTCCCTGAAATTGGACAAAGGGAAAAGCTCAGCGTTGGAGATATCAGACAAACTGCTAAAATGTACCGCTGTCCAGGTGGGGAGACTACATGCGCATGTATCATAAGCTTCCCTTAATCTCATTTAGTGTAGTGCTGGTGGCACATGTAATCCATTTTAAGACAGTGGTTGCATGAAGTTGACAGAAATTTAGTGCTAAATAAATGTAAGATCTGTCTCCTTCCTGACGTGGACGGTGACTCGGTTTTTCCTCACAGTGCGCTTTGTAGGCCGCACGTAATTACTTAACCCTTCAATCTCTGAGAGTGACCAGGATCTAATTTCTCCTTACATTATCACCCCTGAATCACACATCAAGGTCACGAGAATTACGAAAATGATCACTAATTAAAGAAACTCTTGATTGTTAGACAAATTCTCCTTGTCAGCACCTAAGTAAATGTATAGAGAGCAGTATGGAGAATATACATACTGATGTTAGGGTGTGGAGGGTTCTTGTCATATTTTTTTCGCCCTGATTGGTTGTTGTGTTTACTATAGTGTTGGTTTTACAAAACTCAGTCTAACTTCGCTCCATGCCAAAAGTGGCTCCTTGAAGTCGTCATGCCACAATAAACACAGTTTTTTTTTTAACTAAAAAAGCGAAAAGAAGATTTTTTTAAATCAAGATCACGGCGGCACGCCCTCTCCTTTCTCCTCAGGGTCTACCCTTCATAGGCAGTAGCGGATCCAGACCTTAAGCTAAAGGGGGGGAGGGTGAGGGGCTCGGTTCTTCATAAGGGCTTTTCTTCCTTCTGCGAGTTTTTTTTTTAACCAAAATAGGGGGTGGGGGAGGACAGCCGATTCCCTAGGTCCGCCATTGATAGGCAACGCCGCGTTTTTGAACGTTTGATAATTCATTTTAACAAATAAGTTACCTCATATGCGATAATATTCAAAGATCTTTAAAATGTCCATTGCTGTTCTTCAATTAGAATGTGGAAGAGCATTACAAGAGCAAACCGGTACATTTTCTTCCCCTGGATTCCCCAAAAGTCAGAAGGACAAGTTATGTGAGTGGCGCATTGCTGCGACGCCGGGTGAGCGAATCTTTCTCAATTTTACCGTCTTTGGTCTCAGGAGAAGCTCAAGCAGATGTAGGGATGAGCACGTGGAAGTGCGGGACGGCTATTCAAAGTCCTCGCCCCTGATTGGCCGATTCTGTGGAAGAAAAGTGCCACCTTCAATATGGTCTACTGGAAATAGATTGTGGATTAAGTATCAGTCGTATGAAGTAGTAGGAAAACAAGGATTTAAGGCAAATTACAAAGGTGAGAAAAAAAAATTCGTCCGAGAAATTGAAGAAACCTGACCAGTTGCCACTTGGCGCCTGCAAGAAAAGTTGAATATGGAAACTATGTTATAGTATACGGTTCGGTAGCAAGAGTGCTGCTGTGATAGTTAGGGTGCAGAGAAAAGGAAGGAAGATAGGAAGCAATGCCGGAATAAAGGTGGTGAATGAAGTAAGATAGAAGAAAAGGACTCAATGAGGCAAGGCTATGCTTTCTGTAGGATTTACTGTTCTAAGGCACAGTTTACTTCGTTATTTGCAGCGGTATGCGGTGGTGACATAACCTTTCCGCAAGGAACCATTCAGTCACCGAAGTATCCGCAGTGGTATCCCTCGAACAAGAAGTGTACTTGGAGAATCACTTTGCCGACGGTTTGTACTACGTTCAGATACAATTATAAATGTTAACTATTATTTCGAGGGTGTCCTTGTTTTGAGAAATGTGTTTATCTGGCTTTAAGTGCAGACTAGTAAAGGAGCTTTGAGGTCAAAAATTGATATTCTTGCACCTGTAGGCTTTGTCGACCTCAGTTTTAGAACCTTTTAGGCTTTTAAGATTAAGAAGGAATTTTATGTAGCTCTTTTAAAATATCAAAGGCAATCATTCAATAAGTTAAGGATGATATCAGTTTCAATTTATCGCTCATCGCGAGATTGTGGGGGAAAATTGAGAAAACAAAAAAACCCTAAAACTAACCATCGTAAGAATGGGAACGTTTACTTACCAAACATCCAAATCATGATGGCTACGAAATCTCTATGATATCTTTGATAGACATAAATGAGGTGAAAAAAAGTAAATAATTAAAATTTCATGAAGAATTGCGGAGCAATTAAATTCAAAGGCATAATGCTACACTCAGAGAACACAAGTTAAAGTGCCCCTAAGATTAAAGTTTTCGTACATCATTTTTTTTCATTTTTGTGTTCTGTGTGTCTCCTTCACCTACTCTGCCAAATCTCAGTCTAGACCGAGCACCATAAATATCTTTCTTTGGGCCGTTAAATTTGCGATTTCGCGTCCGCCAAAGGCCCAACGCGAAAATCTCACGTGTTAAAATGTCAAGCAAACAAAACAGAGTGCATTACTCTATTCTTAAAAAAACTAAACAAAAAATGACGAGGCATCGTCGATGCGTAATTGAAAGCTGAAGTAATCGTGCAGACCATATTGTAGGTATTTGTCTGCATCGAAGCCTTGC